CTTTCTTTTTTCGGTTGGTTATTGTCTTTAGATATGTAAATATATTCTTTGATATGTAGATATATTATAGTTAAATTATGTATTACTTAATATATATTGTGCTTAAAATGAAATAAATAATAAGCTGAAGTGTTTGATTCAAAATTACATAAATGAATATAATGATAATATTTTGAAGTCTCATGCATATATATAAATTCTAAAAAGAATTAAACTGTAATTGGTTAATATTTTCTTTTTTCTTTTTAATAGGTTTTGAGTCAACCTCTAATTTATATGAATAAAATTAAATAGATTATTATTATTATTATTATTAAATTATATGTTCTTATGGTAATTAGATGTTTAATTTTGGATAAATTAGATCAGTCGAGTCATTCATATTGTGAGTATATTGAGTTAAATATATTTTTAAATTAAAATTGAAGTAAAATTAATTTTTATTTTAGTTAAGTCAAATAAAATTATTTTTATTTATCGCTTAAATATACATGTATTTTCATAATATTTATTTACTCTTTATATGTGTTCAAAAAAATTACTCTTTATTTTAGTTAAGTTAAATCAAATTATTTTTATTTATCGCTTAAATATACATGTACTTTCATAACATTTATCAAATTATATTTTGATTTCCTAAAAATATTATAAAATAAAGTGTAACTGATAAATTTTTGGTTCTTCATGAACATATATATTTTTATTATTTTGAAAATATATTTTATGTTATTTAAAAATATATATATTAATGGGGGTGTTACTATTTTGTGAACTTTCATTTTTAATAAAATCATATTATATACATATATTTTGTTTTAAATTTGTTTTAAAATTTTAGAAATATTTCCTTTTTATTATATATGTTATTTGGAAAGAGGTAAAAAACTAAATAAAAAATAATAATCTTAAAATCTAACAATTCATTAAGGGTATCTATGTAATCAACCATCGCGAGAGTTAACGTGAACGCAACACGTAGGAAACTGACTTCTCAAATAATATTATAGAGATCTTGCCATTCCTTAGATGACTATTTCATTAATAACCTTAGAGCATTTGTTTCTCTCTCTAACAGAGGTCATATATGCTTCGATCTACATTACCTTCCATTCTTAATACTCTTCCCTAAGTACACGTTTTAGACTTTCTTACGATAACAATGGTTGGTTTGGATTTTGTTGTTGATCTGAAGCTTTTCAAATTAATGTGGAAGATTAGAGTGAAAGTGAACAAAAACAATGGTTTGTTCTCTTTCTTCTTTGTTCTAAAACCAACAAAAAAAACAGAAAAGCGAACCGAGAAACATATGAACATCCGAATTTCTTTAATATAGTTTAAAATATACTGTTTAAATTAAAATACAAAAAACAGAATTATAATTATAATTTTCTCCAAAATATTTAAAAGTATCTGAATTATCCAAAATTTTATCTGAACCCCATACATATGATATTTAATCAAAAAACAATATTTTAAAACTTTTTAACCCAAATTAAAAAAAAAAACAGAATCAAACCGGAACCGAATATGATCTGAATTACTTTGAATATTAGCCAAACTAAATAACTGAACTAAATTACTTTGAATTTTTTAAACTTTGGTACCCGAACTAAACATAAACCAAAATAACTGAACCAAACTTTCAAAAAATTGTAACAGATCTTATATTTTTTCAAATGTCATTTTTAAATAATTAAAATGAGAATTATAATAAAAGTTTCATCTGGAATTTTAAAATTATCTGAATTATCCAATATTTTATCCGAACCCCTTAAAAAACCAAATTTTTTTACTTTTAAACCAAAATTAACAAAAAAAACAAAATCAAACCAAAAACAAATCTGATTCGAAATTAATTCAAATATTAGCTCATGGTCAACTTTGTTACCCGAACGAAACATAAACCAAAATAACCGAACCAAATTTTCTAAATATTGGAACAAATCCTAAATCTCCAAAACCGAACAACAAAAAGAAATGAACTAACCAAACTGGAATCGAATCGATAACCGAATGTCCGAGACTATATCAAACAATTAATTCTTTAATTTTGAACACAAATATGTATTGAAAAAAATAATCCAAACTAGATTTTGACCAGCGCGTCCGCGCGAATGTATTTTGTCAACAATATTTTGATATTTGGTTTTCAAGTTCTTATTTAGGGTTGGGCAAAAGATCTGAATCCGAAAAAACCCAACAGATCCTGTTTCAAAAAAGTATTACCAAACCCGAATCAAAATTGATTAAACATCTGAATTATTTAAAATTTGGGTATTTAGAGAACTCAAACCAAATCCGAGTATCCAAAATAAATTTATATATTATATATATATTATTTATTTTTAGATTTAATGTATATGAAAACATCCAGAATATATGTGATACTATATACAAATAGTTAAAACTAAATATCTAAAATAGTTAAAGTATATTCAAAGCACCAAAAATACTTAAAATAATTATCGAATATCTGTCCAAATATTTAAAAGAAACCAATTTATATGCTATTTTAGGTATTTTGACATATGTTATTCAAATTTAAATTTAATATTTTACTTTGTTTATAGATTTTAGAAACTTTAAGTATATAATAATTTTTAGATTTTTAAAAATTATTTAAATGGGTTATACGAATCTGAACCGAACCCGCGAAAATTCGAATTGAACCCAAATGAAAATTTAGAAATATCTGAATGTTTGAATCCGAAAGAATGGATCGGTAATTAATTGATACGTTCGAATGCGTAGAATTAAAAAAAATCGTGATGTTATTTTGATATTGATAAAAGAAATTTAGTTATGGTATTCTGCAGTTAATTTGTTTTTTTTGTAGAAGTAGGAATTTTTTTTTTTGAATGATGGTGAGTTTTGGAAGAAAATAAGTTTGATTACTTTGATATTTTTGAATTTAATAAATGTAATGATATTGGCTAAGCCAAAAAATCGCTAAACCATTAAATCGGCTACCCAAGGTTGGTCCTCATAAATCAAAAACAATATACAAAATGTTAAGAAATCGACTATCATTGTACTGGTTACTAAAATATAAAATCTCACATAGATTACAAATTTCATGTTTTCGTAATCTTAAGATTAAACGTTTCGTTTGTGATGCGTTAGCTAATGTATAAAACAATTGGTCATATGTTTACTCTGTTTGGTTATGAATTATATAAATGGTGATTATTATCTGGGCAACATAATTATAGTAAGTCCAAACCCATTTAAAATATTATTCCTAACCGAACAGGTTAATTTATGGGCTGGCCAACGATTTTTAAGTAGTTATTGTTGAATTTTTTAAAATAATAACTGTGTTTTAAATGTACTACTGCTTTAATATATTAGACTAGATTTTGATCCGCGCTTTTCAATCGCGGAAATTTTTTTATGAAAAAAAGTTTATATAATTGAGTTTTGTAGTATGTTTTGGTATAAAATCAGTAATCCAAAATTTGTGGTGATGAATGTTTTGCATTAGTTTTTAGTTTCAGTTTTTATTTTTAGATTTGGTTTTAGATTTTTGTTTTTGGTTTTTAGTTTTTAAGTTTCTATTTTTAGCTTTTGGTTTGGGGTTTTAGCTTTTAGATCCGTTGAGTTAGTTTGAACTCATAATTACCAACAAACAAATTCCAAAGAATCGAACATCAAATTTAAAACTGAAAAGATGACAATTTTTTTTTAAAAAAAATTGCAATAGTTTATTTTGTAAATAATCAAAAGCAAAAATATAACCTGCGTTTTCAGTTTTTGGTTTTGGATTTACTTTTTAGATTTTGTTTTTAGTTTTGTTTTACATTTATTTATTTTTAAAATAAGTAAATTATTTAAGAAAAATAAAAAAATAAACTATTTAAAAGTTACCATTGAAATTTATCAAGACAGAGTGATTGTTATTTAAAATTAAAAAAATATTAACATGTTTTAAAGTACATGATTTAAATAAGTGATTAATAATAGATAATTTTGTTTTGTTAAAAATATTAAATACTTTTGGCCCTGAAAATAGTAATTGATTTTTGGTGGAAAATTTATTTAAGGTTTTTTGGAGTTTTTCATTAATACTAAGCCCAAAATCCAAACTATATAATTTGTCATAAAAATAAAAGTAAGCCCAAAACTCTATTCCATAAATAGCCGCCTGTTTAATTTAAGTAATACGGTTCAATCCACTATATGACTTGTATTATTTATAACACTCTAGAAATGGTCCAAATTTAAATGAAAACTTGTATCAGTAGATAAAAATAATAACTTTATATTAATAGAGTAGATATTATAACATTAGAACCTAAGTTTTTATAACAACTAGAGACTTTTCCGGGCTACGCCCGGATTTATTTTTATAAATTATCAGTTATTTTAAGATATTAAGTTATTTCTATTGGACTATATATTTATATATTGAAAGCAATGAAAAATAAAATTATTAAAATGAAATTAAAATGATTCAAATATAAGGCGTAAACAATAATAAAAGTGCATATATTACATTATTCAAAATATTATTACAGCAGAAAAAAATATGGTTTAAACTCAAAATCATTTTAAATTTTGATTTCTTAACTATACATTCCCTATATCTTCTGGATTTTATTACTTAATTAGTGACTAACATTTTTTACGTTTTAGCAATAAAACTAATTTTCTAGAAGTATGTTTAAAAATAATTGTTGATAAAAATTTCAACTTTAAAAGGTTGGACCTGAAAAATAGTTTGTAAATACATGATAAAATTTTAACAGTTAATTGTTTATTATATACTTTTTGAAAATCCATAAGAGTTGAGAGAAAGAGAAGGATTTTCATAAGGTTTTTATGTCTGAATTTTTGGTTTGACAACATTCATATATTGTCTAATACTTAATATTACATTTTTTGAAAATGAATCTATTATAAAAATGATTTAGGAAGTATTAGACGTTTTTAAAAGATTTGGTGTAAAAAAAATATAAATTAATAAATAGATTAATAAAGATGTTAAATAATCGATGTGTCGGGCTCATGTTGTCTATGAATGTATAGCTTTACATATAGATAACAATCGTACATAAACGTATTTTGAAAGAGTATATAGTAGTATAGATATCAAACATATAATTTGGTAACACAAACTGTTATTATTGTTGTTGTTACTAACCAAATAAAAACAATATATAAAACAAAAAAAAATTACATGAATCCAACAACATCCAAACATTATACGACAAAAGTTCTTCTTCGCCTTCACCTTCTTTTGAAAGTTGAGAAACCTGATACCATAGGCAAAGACGTAGACAAAGACAAAGAGCTGTATATATCCTATATGGACAGAAGCTACAACTGGTAAGAAGTCATGTTCGAACCCGAACACATCTTTCAGAAAAGTTTTAAGGCTCATGTCTCCAACACCAGCAATATGCACTATCGAATCTTTGTCTCCTACTTGAGATGTGATTATACAGTACAACGTCCAAGAAAATGGTGTTAACCAGTAGTACCATCTCCACCATATCGTTATTTGCTACGTACCTAAACTTATAAGTTAGATACACTCTTTTTAATTATTGATTATGTAAGTTGATGAAGAATGTTACCGGTATTTGTCTGAATAAACAGAAGAAGAGATTCCAGAGACCAAGAAAAGGACATGAAGATTCCAGCAATCTGATAGTTTGGTGTCAAGGCCACAAGCATCAGACTATGTAGTAGAACCGATAAAGAGAGGAGATGGTGAATACTTGAGCAAAGTCCACATTCATTCGTGACTCCATTGAGGAGCAGTGACGTCAAGCATTCACGTTGCAGGATTGTATCCGGCCTTGATCTTTGGAACCTATTCAACAGCCTGCAGTATAATGCTTTTAGTTTGATTACTCAAATTCTCCAAGGGATATAACCTGGAGAAGGACAAAGACAGATGATTCACCTCAAAGAATGTGAGTGATGTCGTAGATTTAAAGCATATATAATTTGGCCTCCACGTTTCATCAACAGAATAAGGGTTAGTTTCATTCTGCAAAAGCAAGACGTGGAGATTTTGAGACACTATAAATTAAGTTGTGAATAAATAAAAGGACCAACAAACGTTTTAGGTAAAGATTAGTTTCTATCAATGCAGCTAAACTTATATCATAACCTTAGCTTCACAATCAGAGAATAAAACAATGTGACTAATTATCACAGCCAACAGAATCACGAAGCTATATGACTTAGAAAGTGAAATACTGTGCAAATGATTAACAATAATTTGAATCATAATTAACAAATAACTTGAATCAGGCGTGACAATGGAGGAGATAAAACTGGAGAAGCATCATACCGTGGAATGGCACAACCATCAGGTTTCCATCTCCAATTGAGATAGTTGGAATCAGGCATTCCGTTCCTCAGGCAATCAGAAGCTTCGTCAACCTAATGACACGATCCAGGTCGATACACGCACCAGAGAAATTTAGAGAAGCTCCACGACATACAGACTTGCCCATTCTCTTTAGGCTCCATGTGTTGGCAGTTTCTGGCTACCCACGCCATTCACAACTGAATTTATGTCAATGGAAAAAATATATATGTTTTGATCAAGAAAAGAAACTGAGTGTATGATTTCAAGAAACTCACCATTTAATTGGATACTGGAACTTTCCATATGATCACCAGAAAACCAAAAGACAGAATCAATAAACCAAAAAAATCTAATTAATAATACAGATATAGAGAGAGAAAGATACATATAACGAAGAGAGAGAGAGAGAGAGAGATCTAACCATGGTGGTCGTGGGAGGGCGATCCTCTCCTGTGTTGAATTGACCCTACTTGCAAAACAAACAAAATCAGATTCAACCTGGTAGAAAGAGAGATAGGTCGAACCTTGGTGGGTGGTGGTGTGGATATTGACGGAGACATAGAGGATATGGAGACGGCGGGGCTAGATCTCAACAGCGGCAGGCTAGGAATCTGTTCTTCGTTGATACACGGCTATGTTCTTCTTTGCAGAGGCATTAGGTTTATGGTTAAAGTCAATGAGACAAAAAAAAAAAAAACGAAACAAAGCCATACAAGAGAGTTTCGGAGGATTCATTGCACAGTTATGGTATAGGGTGTGGATGGATGAACAATTTGCTATAGAATAGGAACGGTCGAAGAAAAATGTGAGGAGACGGAAAAGACGAAGAACATCGTCGGTTATTGATCTCAGAAAGCAGGCCTGATGTGCCCAAAAATAAAACTGCTCAGGTCCAAACTTTTTTTCAAAACCCAACAGAACCCAATTCTGACTGACATGGCAAAACTCAACATCTTGATTGGTCTATTATTCTGGTCTATGTGGACCCTTTACCTGAGGCTCATTTAGCCATTTTAATAGTGTGTGATTTCACTCCGCAATAATTAACTATTTTATAAAAACCTAAGTTTTTATAACAATTTCTTTCCGCACAAAGTTATTACTTAGTATATATTATAATGACACAATTTTCTCTCCATATAGAGATTCCACGTCAGTAAGTCATTTTTAAAAATGGTTTCCGAAATAATTAACTATTTACTATTAACGGGCCTGCTAATTTGAAAACCATAAAATCAGTTAGATCAATAGTTTTGTGAAAGACAATAGCTATTTCTCATAGTTGACTTCTCTCTTCCTCTTCCAAAACTCTAATTTTGTGATCAAGAATGCCAATCAACCACCGTTACCTCTGCAATTGCAATTAGTAAAAAGTATTCAGTTCTCATATTTGCCATCAACTCTAATTAATATTCTTCATTAAAAGTTTAAAACTCACTCTTACATCTACAGTTTCATCTGTAAGTGTAAGAATAGTGCAATACAGAAACTAGAACACACAGTAAGACATGATTATTCTTCACAAGAAAATACGACTAGATAAATCCTTTTAAAAGGTTCATACAAGATCTCTTAAAAGCAATTCTCAAACAAGCTCCAAACAACCTTGACTTGTTGACTAGCCTAATCTATTCAAGACTTACCACAGTAGTTGAATAACTTCTAACCCTTAGACTTTTGTCTCACCTTACTCGGACTCACAAAACTCTCTATTGCTAAAAGCTTTTCCCAGTGTGTTGGCCGACTACAACCCAGTCGACCCTCTCTTTATACCTAGAGAGATAACCCTAAGTTCTACCTAATAAAAACTTTCCATTTTCTATTCCAGCAAATAAGACAACCTTCCCTTTTTCTAGATTGGTTGCTTTTCCTCCACTTATATTCTTTAAGGCCCACCATAAAGAATATCTTCATATCTTCATTAAAGTCTCCTTCCTTTTTCTTCCTCTTCTCATGACTCTGCGTTTCTCCTACTAGTAGTTCATGTCGTGCTTCATGAACTACTTCAGCTCCGTCTGCACCATGTATCTTCATTCTCCCCCTTTTTAATATGTGCGTCTCACAAGTACGTGAGATGAATACAACAATGCACACACAGACAAGCATTACTCGAGAGAACAATTCATGTAAGCAAAAGTACTTAGATATCCAAAACAAAGGGTTCACATACTTAATACATCTCCGAAAAGATAACACACATAAGTACTCCCCCATAATCTATGAATTATCTTAAAACAAAAAACAAAACCAGTTGCAGCAAGTGGTGCAATCGGCGAGTACAGTGCAAACAGAATTACAAAAGAAAATAAACAACATCATTGCTCCCCCCACAATCATAGCCTTCATCTCAATCTTCTCCCCCTGCTTGTGAGCACACATATTAAAAACAAACACGGAAAAATCAAAGGAGATGCAGCAGAGTGAGAAGGAAACTAACCAGAAACCGAGCGAGAGAGATCGGCCACAACATCAGTCAATGCTTGCAGAGCCTTGGCCGTGTCTTGAAGTGCCTCCTGAACCTCCGCCTGAGTGATCAGACCCTGAGGAACCATGATAGTGCCCAGCTCAACCACGGAGACCCTTCGAGGACCAGTCTTGCCACTTGAAGTTGGTGGTGTGGGAGCAGGAAGAGGACGGGCTGAGCGAGCAGATGTGCGGACCTCCTGCGTTAGAGTTACCTTTCCCTTACCCTTTGCCTTAGCTTTGAGGAGCTCATAGTTCTCTCCAACTCTTTTAAACTTCTTGTAGGGCAACTGTCGAATTTGTTTCTCACCACTGTTTGGCTGAGGAGAGTGTTGTTTCTGGAGAATCCCCATGATGAGACGAGGAAAAATCAACCACCGTGAATGATTGCGCTGAATCACTCCCAGGTGCATAATCTGATTAAATATCAAACTTCCAAAATTGACCTTTACACCATGAGCCATTTTGTAAATCAGCTTGGCCCTGTCACCTAACACATGTGTCTTCTGTGTGGAGGGAATCCAATTATCTGCTGCAATGATCATCAGGGCGCCATAGCGAGGTGAGAGATCGGTGGTGGTCAGGTTAGTCCATGTCTTCTTGGTCTTCTCAGTCAAGAACTCAGCTAATTCAGTGACTGTGACTGCATCAATGGTCTCTTCCATGCCAATTTCTTCCTCAGACAATGGTGAGAGGCCAAGATACTCGTTGATGACTGAGGCAGAGAACTGATACACTTGGCCTCTGACTTGTACCTTAACATGACAGTCATCATCGTCCACCTTAACACTCGGCAGACCTGCATAAAATTCAGCCACCACCTGCTCTACATAGCTCACAAGTGATGTCACAGTGGAAACCATGCCTCCCTTTTTGATAATATCAACATACCCCCACTGATCTGGTTCCTCTACATCAACGCTATGTTCAGCAATGAAACTACGGCCCTCAAACTGATCATACCTTTTCTTGGTCTCTGGTGTAGTAGCTGAAGCACTATGACCTTCCTTCTTCCTGGATTTCACACGATCAGAGACAGTGGCTTCCTTTGTGAGGCTGGGAGGATTTGCAACACCCTGAGATGGCGTAGGAGCATTGTCTTCTTCGGTCTTGGTTTTCTTTGAGACCGGAAGACCCAATCTTTTCTTAACTCTCTTCTTCCTTGCTTTGATTGGTGGGGTTCCTTCAAATGTCGAACTCAACTCCACAGCATCCTTGGCCTCTTGAGCAACCGCCAAGGTCAGATTCTCCTGGTCCTGAGATCCGTCTTCTTTCTCCTATGGGTCAGCTTCTTTCGCTTCAGATCCAGATTCAGTGTGTGTCTCCGCTGGGGCAGTCCCAAAAGGAGAGGCTGGTGATTTTGGTATGGCGTCCTCTGGGGTAGTCGTTGTCGCAGGTACGGGAGATGTCTTGAGAATCGAGTCTTTGTGGTGCGAAGTACCTTGAAGCTCATCACTTTCTTCTGATTGAGCTTTTGCATTCGCGGTGTTGAACGATTCAAGCTCCTCAGTGACTTCAAGAAGATTCGTTGATGGAGCAGAATTGTTGTGAGGCGGAGATGGCTCAGATTCTTCGTCAGAGAGTTGAGGCCGATTTGATTCAGAGGCTGCATGCACGGCTGGACTGACGGAGGAGGTTGCTGCGGTTGTCTGCTTTGTCTTTGCCATTTCAGAGAGAGAGAGAGAGAGATACGAGCATGATTTGGAAGTGGAGAGATGGACTCGGTTTGTAGAAGCTTGAAACTGTTTACGGTTTTACCCCACTATCTCCACTAGGAGGGAAACTCAACCAGCCTTTACCGAAATTGCACATCTGGTCCCTATACTTGTTCACTTTCCGTTTGTAACCTGCACTTTTAATATCTCTCATCCAAACCATTATCAAAAGCAACCACATCCTAGAATTTCAATGTATCACAAGACTTTCAAAGTAGCAATTAAACACGTGCAACAGTTCACAATTGGCCTGAATCTGAATAATCTTTTGAAAAATAGAATTGATTTTGTACCTTTTAGAATACGGTATGCCTGATCTGACTCAGCACCTAGTTCAAGCTGCACATATGAGACTTGTAGATTTTCCGATCTGGTGAACTCAAAAGTCTTTTTATGGCTAGCTTTCACACGGTTGTACCTTCATCAATCCTGGTGGGTTTTTCACTTCCTTATCCATTTGAGTGTGCTGCCCATTTTACTTTTTCTTTGTATCTTTTTTTTTCTTTTTCTCTTTCAAACTTCTTCACCTTTTCTTGTGAGGTGATAACGTTAACTCTTGCTGGTTTTCTAAAAATTCACACACATGAAAACTTGTACCTCTCAGCAGAACTGACGTACAACAGGCAGCTCTTTTCCACAACGTTCTCAAGTGCCAAACACAATCTGAATCATATGTACATCCTGAACCAGCACCTGTGTCAAACCCTGCATCACTTGACTCAACAATCAAGGTTACATACCCTAATGGCATTTCTTAGAGTGATAAATCGGTTAAGATCAAGGGGTTTAGTGAAAATATCAGCGAACTGTAAATCAGTAACAACATGCTCAATTACTACCTGATTGTCTTCAACCAATTCTCTGATGAAATGGTGCCTTATGTCAATGTGCTTTGTCCGTGAGTGCTGGACTGGATTCTTTGAGATATCAATAGCGCTTTTGTTGTCACAATGTACCAGAAAGGGCCCATAAGTCATTCCGTAATCGGCTGACATTTGCTTCATCCAAATCAGTTGTGTACGGCAACTCCCCATAGCAATGTATTCTGCTTCTGCAGTAGATAGCGACACATAGTTCTGTTTTTTGCTCATCCATGATATGAAGTTGTGACCTAAGAAGAAACAACCTCCACTGGTACTTTTCCTGTCATCAGCGCATCCTGCCCAATCAGCATCGCAGTAACCTACCAGATTCTTGTTGGAATTCTTTACAAACTGTATTCCAAGACTTTCAGTTCCCCTGGCGTACTTGATGATTCGTTTGACTGCATTCAAGTGAGACACCTTGGGTTTAGCTTGATATCTTGAGCACACTACAACGCTGAAGGAGAGATCAGGTTTGCTGGCTGTAAGATACAACAGACTCCCTATCATTTCTCTGTACAGAGTTGCATCCACGTCTTCCCCTGCTTCGTCTCTTGCGAGTTTCACTAAAGTGCTCATGGGAGTTCGTGAGACTTTTCTCTTCTCAAGCCCAAAACTTTTAACAAGACTGCTGGCATAAGC